GACTTTGTTGACAATCAGTCATGCAGCTGAATCACAAGAGTTGGTAAGCAATCAATGGTATGGTTAGCGTGGACGGCCTTTCCTAAGATCAGTATGTTGCTACGATGTCAAATTATGATCCTGCTGTAGGTGAGGTCATTGAAGTGAGAGGGAAGGTTTCATTGCTGGATTTCTTGAACAGTGACCATGACAACCCCAAAACTCGATACGACGGTTTCCAGTTGCACATGACGATCCAGTGTTCGGATTGCAATGACCTCGACCGTATAAACTGGAAGTATGTTGGCAGAGAACACTTGATCAATAGCAATTGCGTGTCCTATTTGTGGTAGCTGACACCACTTCTCAGTGTCGTACCTAACAAGTATAAAATATCATGATTTCATCCATAACCTCTTCTCGCCTGACATACCATTTGGATGAAACTTTTGATAACCGTAGTTAGCCGATGAATAGATTACAGGGGCTTCAACGTACCTATCCGTGTGCAGAGCCACACTCCCTCTGTGTATGATCGAATGCAGTTTGTGAAGGTAATTGATCGGAGCCCGAACCGTGGACACTTGGCACAAATTTACTTGTGATATGGAAAATAGATACGATCGCTTCCCGGCTGGTTATGTACATTGTGTTTTATTCGTACCATGAGGCCAAGGATGACAAACACTTGTCCACCAGTCATGTCAAAGGACGAATAACACAAACCTAAATGCAATCCAATAAAGATGTTTACCGCTATACGTTTCCAATATTACAGCTAATTAGGACTTGAATCAATTTAGTTAGATTTGCACATACCACAAGTGCTAATATATCAGAGCTACTGCTACTATATTGTGTTTTGACCGAACCAATAACCCGATCCTTGACGTTTAGTTTTGTGAGACTTAACCAGTAGCTCAAAACGTTACAGGTTTGATCCTGGCTGCTTTCTCACTCAGGTTCTAAACACATTTATCCTTCGCCTTATTTCCTCGTAGACACACAACAAACCATGTCCGCACTGACTTAGGAAAGAATATTCACTTTTCGATAAAACTGTCGTGTTTTGTTTTCCAATGTTTTCGACATTCATTCGATCCCGGAATCAGACTTTTTCCCACGAATTCTTTGAGCGCTGAGCTGTAACAAAAGAACTTTCTCAGACAAGTGTTTTCTACTCACCAATAGGATGAACAACCCTGGCATTAAACCGTTTTGAGTGAAGTTTTTCTTTTTGCATTGACCGCAACTGTTTCTTTTAAATAGTTGTTATGCTACTTAAGATAGTGTATCTGTTGCGGCGCACTAAGCTTCTTCGTGACTAGCCCCGCGACTATTTCAAACTCGCAGACAACGATCTGCGATCCGTCAAGTCAACGGATTCCACTTGTCCGCCGGACTGTGACGGGACACCGGATTTCGAACGGTTGCTCTCCTCGTGCCGGCGATTTGATGAATTTGCCCAGTCAGCACGCAGTCTGTGTTCGTCTCCCAGATATTCAATTTTGTGTGTTTGCTTCAGTTTATGCGTTGTTACATGTTCACCTGTTCTCGGGGTGGAGGGGAGTAGCTTGTCCCCAGTTTCACATAACCAGTCAGTTTTGTCAACAGTGATTTAATGTCCTCCAAGGAACCATTGTCCACTTCAAAGTGGTCGTCGATTGATGTCTGTTGGCTCTGTTCTTGGGACTGTGTATGCATCTCAGCTGTTTCCAACTGTTGTATTTTCCGGGCATCTTGTTCACTGGTCACAGGAAGCCGAAGTCAGCACGGTTATTGAGTATGTCAGCCTACACTTGTGTAAGCGGGTCTGTGTGTGCGCATAACTATATGTGTATATGGTGTAGATGCGCGAATGTACGTGTGTTTGAACGCATGACTGACAGAAATTCTATAAATTCATCGCACGATAATGCGGCATTTTTCATCCCAAGTAAATGCCGCAAATCAGCAGTGCATTTCTGTGAAACAAAGTTAGCATTACAGGAGGAATAAAACGAATGGCTTCCAATCCCGTTCTGTTGGATACACTACCGTCAAAGTAAAGAAGACAGTTTTGGCTGGTCTGCACCCAACCGCTCCCATTCCATTCCACGATCGCAAGTGACATATCACACAGCCCATAATCGACTTAAACTTGATAGTAGAAGCATAACACTATTATCAGATTACTAAGATACTTTAGGTGAGGTAATCAATTGATACTTGGCTATCACAGTACGAGATTCATAACCATTTATTTTCTATTCAAATTTATCATAATACCACTTGAATGGTTTGAAAAGATCGATTTCCAAGCACGTGAAGATTGTTTCGATAGAAAACAGACGAGTAATGTGAAGCCCCTTTCGCATTTGGTAAACTCCGCCTCTGAACGGAAACCGTTAGTCCGGAAATTAAATTTTTGAAAGCACGAACAAATCATGACACCTACTCTGTCATCCGATTCATTTCAGTCTCAGGTTTGCTCTTTTCCAGCTAAACTTTATCCACCCCACTCCCGTTTCTCTATTGCACTCAATTTGTTGATGCTGTTAGGACTATTTTCGTAAACTATGTTGTATGATATCTGCCACGCGTTTCATCACAAGCGGAGGACGAGTTGGAAGCTGGTACATGTGAAGGGGAGGGAGTTGGACAAGTGGAATGGCAAATAGCAGCCATGGTGGTACTAGGAGTGAAAAACTGTGAAACCGCGAAATCATTCCTTTTACCACACATTTTGATGTACAACTTACTGTTATTTTACGTGTTAGTCCGTGTAAGCAGAATGCAGGAAAAGGATTTCTACACCTATGGGTCTCAACCCGATTCAAAGAGTAATCTGATATCTCGCAATGTGTTTGCTGCCGGCAGATCACGAGTAGAATTGTCGTACCAGAAACACGGTCTATAGGCGTCCCAATAAAACCCGATCCGGGTATACAGGATTCAGTACGTTTCAATGTGGGGCTACGCAGAATACTAGAATTGACGGGTTTCATCCGATGGACTTAGTTGCAGTTCATAAGAAAGATGTTGCAGGGAGTAAATTATCCCAGGAAAAAAAGATCAATGAAATGAATAATGGATAAAAACAACTGCACCTATTTTTCCGGAAGCGGTTCTGTTCCAATATTGCAGAACAGTTTGTTCCAACTTCCAAGTACCAAATGATGAAGGAGAGACAGTGAGGTCTGTCGGAAGTCTCTCGTCGTAATGTAACCCGGAAACGCATGCAATGGGGCTGGGGAATTCATTCTTCTTGAGCTCAAATACTGCAGTTTCAAGTGGTTATTCTGGCAGATCACCTTCATAAACAATTCAGTCAATTCAGCCTGAAAAACTAATAGACTCTTTCTGTTTGCCGAAAGCAAAAAGGTATACTGCATCACTTGGGATATTTAATTCGGCAATCTACCTTTAACCAGTCATGAAAATATTTGAAACATATCTGTTTTCGAGCACACAATGTGGGCGAACATATGTTTTCGGTGAATTCCTTTTCAAGCCATTACAATCACATTTATATGAAACAAGTTCGATAAGGTCAAACAAAACAAAAACAAAAACGAAACATAAAGGTGAATGACTCATGTGTTCGGCAATGAGCCCAAGAGATCTCTAAATTTGTTGTGCGCAGTTTCGNGTTTCGACCACATAACCAAAGTGATTACGTCATGGTGTTACGTCATGGTCGTATGAACGAGCAATTTTCTCTTCCCTTGGCCAGGGGAGTTTGAGAGCGTGAATCAGTTTTGCGTTGTGCGCACAGCTCAGGCTTCATGAGTCGGATGCTAATCGCCTCTGCGGTCGCTGACGTACGAAAACGTATTGCTCTTGAGGGTTGTGGTGAGACTCGATAGATTATGCTGAGCGCATGTCAACCAAGTGTTAACCAAGTAAATTCGAATGTGAAAAGATCAGTGCTATCGGTTTGGCCTCGTAGCTCCGCTGGTAGAGCATGCGCGTACAAAGCGTAGGCGGTGTCCATGCGTGGGTTCGAATCCCACCGAGGCTACTGAACGTTTCACAATCGACATTCAAACTTCAAATCTGCCAAACAACTATTTGAACAATGACCCGTCTCTGCCAGATGAGCAACGATCGAGCTGGACACAGTTCCACTCCCACCATATGTAAGCCAGCGTGGAATGTGTTATTTGATCCGTTGAGATAACTGCCTTGTCGTTCGACCTACGTAAGTCGCACCACAGATGCACTTGAATTGGTAGACAATCATAGATGAGGTCAGCATAGGCAACTTATCTTTGTTATAGCATCGGATGTTTGGTGGCGTAGAGAACACACATCTTAGCTGTGCGGCATTAAATGTAGATTTTACTGCGGAGGATAAAACTCTACTAACCCTCTCAGTGGCGGCATCACCTTTGAACGAAAGTTTTATAAAAAGCATCTTCTCCGCTTTTGGCAGCTTTGTTGGCTTATTCTGTTCAGTCCAGTTACAGTCGATAAACTTCTCAGGATAGCCATTTTCTAGTAAGGTTCTCCTCACTAGTTCAAGTTCGTCCTTCAGAGTATCTGTTTTCGTAAAAGTGCACATAGCTTTAGAAAGTAGACCGGTTAGTTAAATTGGACGACGTCAAATGTAATGCGTCTATTGTAATTTACGATAATGTAACATTTAAATGTTATCCCGGAGGCAAAACTCGAAACGCGCTAAGAAAAACGGGTTCATTTTGCAGATGTTTGTTACATGTGTTGGATGGATCATCAGTATGTCTACGTTTTCTGAACTTGACAGTCATTCCACAAACCGATTGAAAGATTGAAGAACTCCCATATGATCGAACCGACTTTCTCCGTCCACACACACACACACACAATGTGCATGTGCACCAAGTCTGTCGCCTCAAATGAGCTTTAGAAATGTCAATCCCTTCGAGCTGAATTGGCCGTGCACTTGGTTGTAATTTACTACCAGTTCGACTGCTCATGCTTTGCGTTCATATAAGAGCACTGAAATTATATATTGCTGATGAGTACCAACAACGATGAAACGGTCGTTGAGTATAACGATGGGTCAGGTTTGCAATGTCCTTTTGGAACAAAATCCACTATCTACGCTTGTGTTTTTAGCGTTGCGGAAATTAGTGACTTCACGTGACTTCACAAGCGAAGCCATGAGCATTTTGACCAGTGATTGCCATGCCACTGTGGCACAATGGTTTCCTGTTAATTCAATCCCTCGTGTAACATGTGTAACCCTTCTATTGTGAAGTAAAAACTACATTTATTTTCATATGACTGAACTAAGCTGATCATACTGATTTACAGTTGTTAATTGGGCTTGAAAAAGCAGAAGATACAGATCAATATTTGGAACTCTAAAAGCACTAATCCAGTAAATACACTGAACATTTGGCTGCTGATTGTTGTATTTGGTCGGTCGCAGCATCAATATGCATTATACAATGTATTAGTATAATTACTGACAAAATGCAGAAACCACCTGTTTTTTCATTGTTAGGGCTCATCGCAGTGGTTCAGCACATTTTTTTTTACGAAGGAGATCACCATCACTTTCGTGCAGACCCTTTAGTATTTGAATTCACATGGATGATCCTAGCGAACTTCAATTTTAATCCACATTTTTTCGAGAGATTAACTATCAGTCTTCATCCAATGAAACCGTATTGACCAGTTTATCTCAAGATTGATCTGGTATATTATGCCCCAAATTTCGGAGATGTGTACGAAATTTAACAACTTATTTGAAACGGTGTTGTTTTATTTTATTTCCAGCCTGTTACTCTCACATCTACCAATGTGCCACGCAAATTGTCGCCCATTGGCCCGGTAATCCACTCGGCTCCCGAGACAACCAATTTGACTCCAATCAAACCTCCATCCCCATTGAAAACCCAGCTGATTATGCAATCTCTGTGCAACGAGAGCTTTCCTCCCACAGCAGTAGAAAATCCTTACCGATACAATTCCACTCCGTCCACACTGCAACGAAGCACAGCGGACAGCATGGAAACAAGCGACGTGCTGAATGATGGATCCGGTAAGGGTTCCCGCTCAGAATTCGCAAATCATCAGACACGATTGACAAAGATGGGAACGCAACGCCGCCGATCAGTTGATCTGATAGAGCAGATGGTACCAACTCGACTTGAGGAAGCCTATGCATTGAAATGTCAACCACCGGTCCGCTCCGAGTCTCAAACTCCCAGTGTACCTCGGACCGCATTTGCCGAAAGACTACTAATCGCAAGAAAGGCGGTTGACGAGGGAAAATTAGGCTCTTTTCGCTCCTCCGAACCTGATGATACCATTCACTTAAACTTTGCACGTCGATTGCGTGAGGAATTAGAAAGTGAGGTTCCCATATCGTACCCCATGAATGAGGGACATAAAACGCGTGGTGCAAATATCTGTATGTCACAGAAGACTGGGACACGTGGAGTGGAAGTTTACAGTGACCTGTTAGACAAGTCCGAGATGACAACACGAACACAGCTCAGTCAAACCGGCCAGACATTTGTCTCCCGACAAAGAGCCGTTTCCACTGATCCGCATTGTTACCTCTCTAGATCAATGCCTGTGCAGGTTGTAAAGCCTGCACTGCGACAGGCTGTGGCTTTGGACTCTAGTGGTCATGACACCGGATCCCCTTCCGATAGCACTGCATCTATGAAATCTGATGAAAGACCGAGTTTGTTTGATCCTGATCGACGTGCAAAACGACTTAGTGCCGATTCTGCTTCAGCACAGGATGAGCGAGTGACGGAACCGAAACCAAAAAGTGCCCTGGTTTCCGAGCACAAACGAACACAACGACAACAGAAGTATGACAAATCAGGAGGGTGAGTCTTTGTGCTTCGAAAACAGTGAACCTTTTGTGTAGTTTGACAAGATTAAAATGCTTCCCCGTTTGCATCTGGTAACAACTGTCATCAACTTCAAGCTAACTCAAATGAAACATTTGCCTACATTTGGCCTGATTTTTGTTTCTATGGTTTTATGAAATTCGATTGGTAACTGATTTCCTTATACCGTGCACATAAAATGGCGCAGTCTAATCATCTGCTCATTGATCATTTGCTTATCCTGGTTTGTTTTACCCGTAGTGTTTTTGGTGCGATCTGCAACTTGGTCTATACATTCTGTAAACGAGCTTTTGATATGTAAATACAGATAGAACGAAATTCGTATTAGAAGTACAAAGGTTAGCAATTTAAGATGGATTATTAGCGACTATACACGGTTGGTTAGGAGTGAACCCACGAAACCAGTTGCGTGTGAGCAGCATTTAGTTGTCCGTCATAAGTATGCTAAAACAGCCCCTGCTAAATAAAACCGTTCATTGAGGCAGAACGTATCTAGTTAAAGCAGTATAACTACAGTCTATCGCACTGAAACAGGGTTTTTCGCACGATATCTGATGGTGTGGTAAACAGGTTATTTTTCATAAACGAATCAACTCTCAGAATTTCTCCATTCCACATACCGAAGAAATTGCAAGCAAATTTGGTGGTTCCTGTTTGTTGTTTTGCCTTCAATTCACGCATGATCAAACATGCGTGCACAAAGTGGATCGGGTCAATTTTTTTACTAGACGCTGTAACTTCACCACCACGGTGCATATATTGCCCTTGTTTTGACCCCCTTTCCCGTCGAACCTGCGCCCTTTCTCTAGTGGATTCCTTGAAACAGCGCATTGAACTCACATCTTCTGAAAGCACAGAAACAAAAGCGTGCAGCAACTAGGAATAAGACGCGTCCCTTTGGGAAGAATTTTCTGCTTAAATAACTCCAGTCGCTTGCAGAGTTAAACAAATAATCAGCATAATTGAGTTTCTTACACAAACAAGGAAGTTCATATCCCAGATACTGTTTGACTGATAGATAAACGTGCTCCCACAATGTATGACTGATGTCTACTTGGTCGATTTGACAAAGTTTTGGCTGACTGAGTTCATGGAATCGTGACTCGAGATCTTTCTTTAAAGCAGCCGCGAAACTCGATTCGAATTCATACCGATATATGTCTTCGTGTTGGTTTCATAATATAATTCTGATTTAGAAAATATTTTCCGCTCTGTAAATTAGAAACACGGTGTGCATCAACCAGTACCATAGTTTCAGTCCGCGTTTAACTTGCCATCAATAATGAAAGCGGAACTGGGGTCCAGTGAATGGTTGACCATATCAACTAGTGCAGATTGTGCATGAATATGTTTTAGGGAGGATAGTCAGTTCTAGTCAATTTACATATTTAATTTGGCTGTTCATATGATTAATGAGTGAGCAAACCTCTTGTTGAACGAACGTGTGTGTACTACGTTCTATTCGGTGAATATGACCAACGAGATTCTGTAAAAAGCAATATTTAAAGCAATATTTGAAAAAATGTATGAAATTTTGACAGAAAAATAAAAATGAACAATGAGAATTGAGGCGTGGAAATGAAAATGCGAATTATTCAGTCAATAACAATTAGATTTTCAGAGAGAAGTGTGGAACAAAAGGTATAGTACACCATTAGTACTGTCCGATTGTGTTACTTACACATTCCTACTTCATAACCTAAGTCGTTAGGGCTTTAAATGTAAATGTAAATGTCTTTTTACTTCCATTTTTATTCACTGTATATAACAATGCACAGTCACAATTCAGGAAGAAGGCCGCATCTATAAAAAGGCTGCCCCGAGAAAATACAAGAATAGGAGAGACAGGTGGCGGTGTAGCGGTTCTAACCCGGAACGGTGCGGTCAACAATTTGATGACCTTGACCGCTTGAGCACACCCACCCAGTTAAAAGCATATTCCCACGTATTCCTTTGGTTTGAATTTCCCGTGCAGAGTATACGGCCCGTAAAATAAGTCACGGAATCAGTCTTGTGCCCAATGTGGAGCAGTAGTTGAGGAACCTGTCTACTTTTCTGTGACAAACATCTCTTTCATGAAGAATATCTGATTATGATCAATAATTCAGCCGGGATACAGAATGCTAGCATCATATTTGATGGCGATCCTGGTAGGAAAATAGAAATTGGAATTCATCTCAATTGAATGCATTAAAAATATATTGTTTTATCTGGAAACCAAACAGAAGCAAAGAATTATCCCCTCTCAAGCTTTTATATTAATATAAGTCTATAATGCACTAGCAAATAAGCTATTGTGATATATAATATGAAAGTGATCATTGCGAGACACCATGAGTGAAGAGAGACATTGAAAGCATTTGACAAATCCGGTCGATTGCGTAGTCTAATTGTGACGTAATGCCGAGTTGCAATCTAAATGACTGATCGCCTCGCATGATACGGTCAGGGCAGGTTGATTTTGTGCAAAAGTGTTTTCTGTTTGCGAAACTCGAAGTGTTGCATTGGCTGGGCAACGGCCAATTATTGCTCGACCACTAAATTACCAACATCCGTATTTGATTTATCCACATTTTATCTGTTACTCGTAGCACTTCACTAACTTGATCGCAGTCCTTACGGCCTGGTGTGCCATTAGAATCGCCAAAGTAGGTTTTACCGAGCTTGCCGTAGTGAGCACGTCAATCTATGTATACCCGTCACCTGTTCGACCTAGCAAGAGGAAAGCAGTTCGAAGAATGGTGGCAGAGCTAGAAACCATCCTCCCGCGCGCTGAGGTGAAGCAGGACCTACGGAGTCACATCGAAAACAGCAG